AGAGAGAGAGAGAGAGAGAGAGAGAGAGAGAGAGAGAGAGAGAGAGAGCTGGTCAAAAGTTATTGTATGGCCGGTTTTCCACGTCGATCTTATCGTACCGAAACGTAGCGGATTTGTTTGTTTCCTGAGCACTTGAGTGGAATTAATGACTTCGACACGAAAGAAAATGCTACGATACGGTTGAAGTGGAAAACAGGCTTATTGTTACTGAGGCCAATCAGAAAAATTCACCAACATCGATTATTGCGTTTGTATTAAAAGAAGAAATCCACATGTCCACATTTTATTTTCTTAGCAATTTTTGGTAATCCTGTTGCCTCATTTTTCCTCGTTTATTTTTCCCTTACTCCTTTAGCTTTATCCTATACTCGTTGTCCCAGGTTTAATTTTGGTTGGTTGAATATCCTCGTAAGATTCTCTTCTAGTATCAGCTGGTATTACATAGCCTGAGTCTCGTTGTATCAGTTTCTGATAAACATTATCTTCTGATTTTCGTCTTTGTCTGTTCTTCTCGAGTTCAGTATAACCAGAAGAATGTGGTAATGTTATAACTTCTTCGTAGGCTTCTGGTTGGCATGTAGCCGGCATTTCATACTGGGGTTCCTCTTTCAAAAGTGCCTGATAATCACTAGTATTTGTCGTTTCGCGAACACCAAGCACAGTGTATCCAGTCTCCTTATGTGCATTTGATAGTATGTCCACTTCTTCATAAGTGGATGATCTGTCTTCAGCAGCGGGCGCTTTTTCTGCTTTCGACAACTTTTGGAAAGGATTATCGTTCTCCGCTTGCCTATTTTCATCTAGTTTGGAGAAACGGAAAAGTTGGCTTTGATCAGGTTTGGCGTCCACCTCCTCGTAAAAAGGCGGATCAGTTGCACCAGCCATTTCATAGCCTTGTTCCTGTTGAAAAAAAATGTGAAAAGAAATTTATCAGAATGTCCAACCTTGGTCCATCATTATTTTGGAATTTGCTTTAAGCATTTCTTGGTGTAGTTATGCATATTATGTAGACGGAGAGGAGCAATATTGCTGCAGTGCATTTACATTGAATCTGATTTGCATTCTGGTTATCTATCTCTTTATCCCACTTTTATTTGCGCTTCTCCGTTTGATCTCCTGAATGGTCGAAGTCATGTTCGGGAAACAACCGAAGATGACGTAAGGAAATTTGTGTGTTTGGTCAATTCTAACTGGAAGTAACCTTCTGCGATATAACACAACGCAGTATACCACAGCATCAGACAGCAACACATGAACACAACACGCCACGACGGACACGACACAATACAACATGACATGACACAACACACAACACGACATGACACGACACAACACAACACAACACAAAACAACACAACACAACACAAGACGACACGACACAAGACGACACGACACAAAACAACACGACATAACACGACATAACACGACGCAACACGACACAACACAAAACGACACGACACAATACAACACGACACGACACAATACGACACAATACGACACGACACAACACAACACGACACGACACAACACAGCACAGTACAACACGCATATATTCCCATATGGATGCGCGTATAAATTTTAGTTGGACTACTGCATAAAGGCAACATCAGCAAACGAGTCAGAAAAACGCAAATTAAAGATAGGCGCCTCATCTTATCACTTTGCAATCACTATTTCGCAAACCAATTGTGTTATAAAAGTCACTAGCTATAGACAATATGACAAGAAAGCATTACCTGAGAAATATCAACGGGAATTGATAAGTTCGCAGCCTTCGTTCTTCTTTTATATATTACGATCAGAACAGCCAGCATGACGATAAACATGACACCAGCACTCGCAGATGTTGCAATGATAATCAGTTTTCGTGAAGCAATTGAAGATTTTGCTGTTACATTCACTATAAGATAATAAGAATTTCTAACATCATTGAATAATGATTAACGTAAAATTTTGCAAAATTCTCCAAACGCCCTACACGTTACACGTTACAGCTAGCCATCAATTAAAGTTATTCTCTACAAGAGCAGTAGAGCACACTTTGCTTTGAACAGCAGTCGCTGCTAAAAAATGTTTATTATACTGGTGTTGTATATACTCTACTACTACACACACCACTAGATAGCTAACACTAAGCAAAGCAATGCATATTTCCATAACAACGCCTAAAGCCATTGTTCCACTAGGCGGAATTTTGCGCGCGAAGCAGAATTTTTCTTTGTCTTTTCTAATTAGTTCCACCCGAGAAATCACAAGACAAAGAAAAATTACGCTCTGCGCGCAAATTTAAATTCCGCCTAATGAAAAACCGGCTCTACACAATGCTTGCAAAACACACTACACCATATCACAGCATATACACTCTAAAATTACCAGTTTCATGCCCTATAGATCATAACATTCCCACTAAATGCACTTTAGTACAATAATGTAATTAGCTAAAGCTTGCCTGGAAAAGTTGGAGATGGTGAAGGTGTGGAAATTTCATACACTGTATCGACTGCTGAATGAGTGCTTGGCTGATTTCCTAAAATCATAAAAACACGTTATATCCAAGTATCAAAAAAACATTCGCTTGCCGCAGAACTATATACACCATTAGAGTACACTTGCTATTTCAAATCTTAAATCGATTGCTCTTTCCATATAATAATAACATAAAATAGCACTGAGTCTCTCATAAATTTCACGTCCTTAACAATCCTGGTCTTGCAACTATTACATTACCCTATTAATTCAGCTCACTGTACATTGGGGCTTTTCAGTGAGCGATTGAACATATGCTACTTACTTAGCCTAGAATATTTATCTTTACAAAAATTGTGATTACTTTCTGAACTGTTTATCCTAACTCACTACCCTTTCCACTTTCCCTGTGCGAGGAAACTGGAGCGCCTGGAGAAATCTCACAACTTTAGGCAAAGCGTTTACAATATACTCTCTTCACATGAATCTGTAGCGAGAATCGAACTCACCATTCTTCAAGGTGAAAGGGGCTTCCACTTACGAATGCGCTACACTAGCGGAAAATAACTATACCATAAATATTGTGGATGATACAGACCGTTTTCTGTTACGGTCGCTTTACGCACGCGACGAGCGTTCCTATTCAAAAATCGTTTGATCAAGTATTCATGTGGCTATTACGGAAACATTGGATGTGCAACATAGGTGCATTTTGTCTGCGCGTGCGCGGTACCAGTTCCTTGCCACACAATAACACACGGTCAGCACTTTTCCCTGGTAACATTCGAGTGCTTTTCCAGTTTTCCCTTTAAAATAATGTCGGCAACTAAAACAGTTTCTAAAAAACTGTTTTATTCGTTTTTTTACTCGTGTGCTTACTTTTTTTTAACGAGCTGCAGTGCGGTAGTTTATAGCAAAAATGGCTGTTGAATTTTTCGGGATCCGTTCACCAGACAAGCGAATTGATTGCATCTGCCGAGCATGTTACATGGCAATTTAAAAATGGGAAAAAAACGACGGAAAATTCTCAAATGGTATAAGCCTACTTTGTACAGAAGTTTTTACAGACTTCTATTTGTTTTCTTTTCTATACAAAAATGCCTAAAATTTTGAAGTAAGCTGTGTTTTTATTTTACATATGCTTCTACCATGCACAAATTACTGCTTAAAAGAAAATCTATTATGGTACGGCTTCTCTCAAATCCATTTCTGCATTAAATTTTTCTTTCTTCATCTTCAGGCCTTCCCGACAAAGACTAAATGCTTTAGTGGGTTTTTTTTCGCTTTGGCATAATCGTTTCTTCGCCTTCCTCCTCTTTTCTCTTTCTAGTTTCACTCAGATTTTCAGTAGCCTTTCCTCATATCCTCTGCTTTTGATTTTTCTACTGGTTCTGCTTTTCATTTTCTAGATCACTCTCATTATCCCAGTTTATATTCGCTTCGTTCATACGGTCGAAAATGTTGACCATCCCTTGGTAAACTTCGTCGAACTCTGCACCTGTTATCCCTATCGCTCTGGCCTCCTCGTTCTCCGGGTTTTTTGTATTTTTCCACCATCTTTGTAAACCGATCTCTTACAGACCTCATTGTAACGCGAAACTTTGGCTTCTCGAGCTTGTTTAGGTTTCCATTAACAACCGGCCTCCAAGCCTGTCCCCTTTCGGTTGACTTTGGCTTGAGCACATACTGTTCTGTGACAAGACGCTCCCTGACGAAGTATTGTTCGTGTTTTCTTTCCCAAATAAAAAGCTCTTTATGTTCGTCTATCTTCTTTTAAAGAGTCGTTCTCAGCAGTACGAATTTCTGAAGAAATCTCGGCTTATCCGAGTAGGCAAAAACAAGTTTCAGAGGTTTTCCACGCCAAAACACGCGATGCGGACGTAACTCGTACTTAAACTCGTACTCGTTCTAAAATCTTAACCTCCCTATTGGCAGGTTACGTACTGAAATAGAAAGTCACTAAAAAATTATGTATGATTAGTGTAGATTATGTCCATTTTCAACATAAAACAGTCATTTACTTTGTACGAAACATTTGGCATTATTTACACAATTGCGCCTTTTTGTATACAAGCGTTGCGTGTATTCCACGCAATTGCGTGGCTCATTTTGCTCGCGCATGCTCAGACATATTTCCCACATATTATTCGGAATATATTGAATGCCCAAGCACTGCCGAAAAGTGGGAAGAAATTGCAGCTGAGTTTTACCAGCGTTGGTGACTACCGAACAGTATTGGTGCAATTGATGGCAAGAATGTACGAATTGTCCATTCTCGGTGTTCTGGCTCAGATTATTACAACTATACAAGCGTTTCTACAGCATTGTGCTCATGGCTATTGTGCGCCCTTCCTCAAAATTCATATACGCTGATGTGGGTACGTTGCCAAGAACGTATCAGTGATGGCGGTGTGCTGAGAAGCACTGATTTTTTCAAAGCGTTAGAGGCGAACAGTTTGGGCATACCGAACCCTAAATCGCTTCCGACAGCCCCGGAAAATCGCGGCCACGAAGACGAGGATAGTCCATGCCAAATACCGCATTATTTCGTCGGCGATGATGCATTGGCGTTGACCCCAAATATGATGAAGCCATACCCACAAAGAGGCTTGACGGAGGAACAACGAATCTTCAACTATCGCCTCTCTCGAGCGCGGAGAATGTTTCATTCGACAATTTTTGCTAAACAAGGGGATGCAGTTGTTGTCGTCCATGCAGCTTTGCTGCTTCACAATTTCCTGTTGAGGAAATGCCCTTCGATTTACGTTCCCGTTGGATCTCTAGATCACCCAAACAACCAAGGAGAAATTATAGACGGTGATTCAGTGGAGACAAAGCACAGATCGGCATGAGCTTTTACATCTTTCCCTTCAACCTGTTGTAACCATCTCAAGAGTGCCAGCAAGATCAGAGATTGCTTGTCACAGTGTGTCAATGGACCAGGACAAGTGCATGCAGTGGCAATAGAAAACAATACTGGCATAACTAAATTTTATTAGATGTTTTGACTGTTGACTTGTTTTCAAAGGGTACGTATAAGCATTGAACCATTTATGAAACACAATACTTGTATAATTAATATATGCAAAATAGACATTAGTTTGAAGGTGTTCTTAAGGTGGCTCCCTAAGGTTTTTCAGTTTACTACACTGTAGTATTCAGGAGACTCCTGTTTCTTCACTTTACATGACATGAAGACGAAATTTATTGGACACATTGACAATATTCTCCTGAATATTGCAAATTGCTACTTTTGTGTTAAAATCTGTTGTCATGACAACAGCATGCTTAGAATAAAGCTCAAAATTTGTCTAAATTAAAAATTTTCTGCGGTGAAATTTTTTAAATTTTTGCATAAAAGATAATACTTGTATAATAATTTTTCCCCCTCAATTTAAAAAAAATAAATCGATACGTTTCTTAGAAAGTTTAAATAACGTCAAAAATCAATATTAAAAATTTTCCCTTCGATTCAATTAAAAAAAAGGATATTGCACTTGTTGTGCTGATATTAAAAAATGTGCAAAGTTTTAAAAAATTTCACCGAAGGAAAAGGGAGAAATTTGGGTTTAATTTTGACGCGAACAATTTAATACCCCAACTGACGTATTTTGTATAAAACAACAAGGCAGGACTTTTTTGAAATCACAAAATATAAATTATGTTTGATATACTGTTTATGACAGTGTCTGTTAATGGTCAACTAAGCGTGGATTATACATGTAAAATTGGCAAAGATATTTGGGTAATTACTTGTTATAACGTCTTGGTATTAATTTGAAAAATGTTTGTCAAAATTCGTCCCGTGCGAGTTTATAGTTACTATCGTCGGATGTTTTCGCAAAATAGGCCTACTCTAGGGTCCAAGATAGCCGCGATTAATTGCGATATTAGGCGATATTAGGGAAAAAATGGCAAAATTCAAGGCGATCTTAGGCGATATTGGACGATCGTGAGGGATCTTCGGCGATATTGGGCGATATTATGCGACCTTATAGTATATTTGGGATTATACTGTAACAGTTATATAATACATTTGAAGCAAAATAATGTATATACAAAAAATGTTGTCATTTAGAGCACAATGGGCCATTCCAATTATTATCCGCATCCCCTCTGTTGAGGAACCCCTTTCTCATGTCGGTACTCCCCTGGAATTTTCGCAAATTTTCATGTAAAATTTACCCCTTCCCATGGAATTTCCTTGTAGAAATTACCCTTGCCCATGGAATCCCCATTTTAAATTAGGCCTTCCCCATGGAATTTCTATTTAAAATTTGGCCCTGTCCATGGAATTTCCATGTATAAATTACCTTTCCCTATCGAATTTCTATCATGGGATACTTACTCCTGGAAATTTCCCTCTAACATATGTTCTCCCATGGAATTTCCATCCCTTGAAATTTACCCCTCCCTCTGGAAATTCCATGTGAGAATTACTCCTCCCCTTGGAATTCCAGATTCTGAATGCCCCCTTTTCTGAAAATTCCAGGGTTAATCCACCCCCTTCCCTGGAAATTCCAAGGTTAATGTAGCCTCTCCCCAGAAAATTTAAAGTCAATGCGCCGCTCCCCATGAAATTCCAAGGTTAATGCACCCCCTCCCCTGGAAATTCCAAGGTTTCTCAACAGGGGGGGGGGGGTTCGGATAATAATTGGAATAGCCCAATTTATGATTTGGTATTGAAAAATAGTTCCAACATTCAAATTTCTCATGTCGTAACTAGTATAGGAGCAATGGTAATAAACCTTTATGTGATTTTAAGACAGTTGCTGTATAAAGATATACAGACTGTGAACTGAGCAATTTATATGTAGGTTAAAAGCCAAGGGAGAGGTTTTTATTAAACTGTGAAGACCGAGGGCCGAAGGCCCGAGGTCTTTACAGTTTAATAAAAACCGATACCCGCGGCTTTTAACTTGTTTATATACTCATCAGACCATATTCTTTTGTATTTTGGAGGTTTTCTTCATTAAAAATTCAAGCTATATCAATTCAATGAGAGTTCGTTGCAGTTGTGGGACGAAATAACTAGGTGTAACATGCGCATTAATACGCTTTAAAATGTGGTTAAGCATGCGCAGTATATCATTTTACGTCCCACAAGCGAAAGAGCAGATATTATTGTATAAATTCCCTGCACAAGCAAGTTTGGTGGTTGATCCAGCTAGTCCTCGTGCGCCGAATCTAGTTTTGGATAAACAATACAATCAAGACAGCCAAGAAGAAGAAGAGAAGAACAGACAAAGTCGTAGTGGAGGAAGAACAAGAAGAGTTGGTGGAGCAAGTCGTTACGCAGTGGAGTGAAGCAGCAGTTGAGGAAGTGATGGATGGTGAGGCAACGATTAACATAGCAACGATTGGTCAGGCAGCCACGATGGATTTTGCTGCAGCTGTTCGTGTCAATGGTGGGGAGCAGACAAGGGTTCATCCTATTCGCCAGGGTGAGCCGAGGCTGCGTCGTCCAAATACGGTTGTATTGCATACAAACCATTTGGAGGGTTTGTCCGTAAAGGATGTTATTCCAGCAATTGTTAATGTTGTTGGTGTGGATGTTGTTAAAGCTGTGCAGTCAATGCCCTATGGTCGATATAGGGTCACATTTCGTTCTAATGATGCTAAACTGGCTTTCTTATCTCAGCCGTTTAACATTAAGGGTGTGGAAATTGAAGTACAGCCGATTCAGAATCCAATTGTGGAGGTGAAAGTGTTGTATGTTCCTAGTGAAGTGCCCAATAAAGTCGTTGCGGAGTTTCTTGGTAATCATGGGAAAGTGGAGACGATAACACGCGAAATGACGACGGAGCATGGCTTCCCCACGATTGAAACGGGAACAAGAGTCGCCAAGATGACTGACATTAAAACCGATATCCCACGAAAGTCAAGAATTGGACACTTCCCGGTGGAAATAAGACATAAAGGTCAACTCCCTCAATGTTTTAGTTGCCGTTTATTGGGCCATCGTGCGAATGAGTGTCCGAATGATGTAGTTTGTTTTAAGTGTGGTTTGTCTGGACATACTCGTGATAAGTGTTTCAAATGTTTTCGCTGTGGCAAGTTTGGTCACGTCCGAGAGAACTGCCCTGAGTTGCAACACCCACGCGTACCGCCCGCTTCTGCTGATGGTAATTCCACCGCCCGGGTCGCTGACACGGTGGCACCAGTAACCGTCGAATTAATGGAAACAGATCGCCGTAACGTGAACTTAGTAGCCCAAAAAGGGCAGTCTCACAGTTCCGCCCCAGTTATGTCACACCCTGAGTCTCAGGATCCCTCCACGTCGCAGATCCCTTCAGAGTCCCAGGTCTCTCCTGTGTCCCAGGCCTGCCCCGTGTCCCATGTCTCCCCCGTGTCCCAGGATGCCACTCAGTCCCAACAGCCCAATGCATTATTAAATCGTGAGTCCCATGAACTCAACCTGTCCAGTTTACAGGATGAAGGACGTATGGATTTAGATGCGGAACCGCTGAAGCGGGGACCGGATGGCAGTACGTGGACAGAGGTACGGAAGAAACCTAAACCTAAGTGATGGTGAATTCTTCGTTATCGATAGTATCCCTGAATGTGGATGGTATGAGAGATCCTAAACGTCGTAGTTTAATGTTTGATTATCTAAATCGTTATGAATATGATATAGCATTGTTGCAAGACACCAGGATACTCAACAATCGGGAATGCATGCAGTGGAATGCTGAATGTCGATGTCGAGGATTTTGGAGTGTTGGAACTGTTCATAGTCGGGGTGTTGGTATCTTAATCCGTGATCCTGCGAAATTCGAGGGTATCTCGTTTGATGTTGACTTTGACGGTAGGTGTGTGTTTGCGATTTGACTTTTAATGGAACACCTTTGCGGGTTGTCAATATTTAGGCTCCTGCCGTTGGTACAGATCGGTTGAATTTCTTGTCGCAGCTGGACAAATATTTGTTAACCCGCCGTAAAATGATCATGGGCGGGGACTTTAATTTGGTTTTAGATATAGCTATGCACCGTTTCGGTGGAAATCCTCACGGGAGTATTGGTAGCCCAGAATTGAAGCGGTTGTTATCAAAATATCATTTGATTGATATCTGGAGACATCAACATCCATCATTGAAAACTTGTACTTGGTCCAACGCGGACCGTTCTATAATGTCGCGGTTGGATAAATTTTACATTTCTGTGGATTTGGTGGATGATAGTAAGATAGTAACTGGAATTCAACCATGTCACTTATCTGATCATGATTTGGTTTCCTTTAATATTTTTGATACGAATCACGTTATTACGTGGGATCGGGGTGTTTGGAAAATGAACACTTCTCTCCTCAAGCATGAAAAACTGCGAACTGAGATTCTATCTTTCTGGTCAGACTGGACTGAGGCGAAGATGTTATTCAGTGATGTCGGGGAGTGGTGGGATGAAGGCAAAGCTGAAATCAAACATATTATTATTGAGTATAGCAAAGCTGTCAGGCGGCAAATAAATGAACAGCGAGTCCATCTTATGAACAAGTTCCATCGTCTGTCGGAGAAAACAAATTTGTCACCTCATGAATTAGAACAGTTGCAGCGTGTTCGGTCCGATTTATGTGAACTTGATTCTCAGAGATTGGAGGGGGCAAAAATTCGGAGTCGTGTTAGAATCATCAGGAATAATGAGAAGCCTTCACGCTTCTTTTTCCAACGTGAACGGTCCAATGCATCTAAGAAACTGGTTACTGCGTTGAACACAGTCAATGGTCGTGTCACGGAATCCGACGGGATAATGAAAGAACAGGTGCGGTTTTATCAAAACTTATATACTGCCCAATTGGTTGACGCTCGTGCGCAGGAGGAGGTGCTCCTTTCCATTGATCGTAAGCTGTCCGAAGAAGAGAAGTTAACCCTTGAGGCGTTCCTTTCTGAGGAGGAATGTCTAGCTGCCCTTCATGCCATGCCGGCACTTCGAACACCGGGCTCTGATGGTCTCCCGAAAGAGTTTTACGTTTGTTTTTGGGAAACACTGAAGAGTGACTTTGTGTTCATGGTCAATTCGTGTCTAGATAAAGGCGAGCTCCCTCTCTCACTTCGTCGTGCGGTTATCACTTTGTTATTTAAGAAAGAGGATCCAGAAAACCTTAAGAACTGGAGGCCGATGTCGTTATTAAACGTTGATTATAAAGTAATTGCAAAGGTGATTACTCAACGTCTTCGAGTAGTTATGCCGTCTCTAATTCATCCTGATCAATCTTGTGCTGTGCCTGGCAGATCATCGGAAGATAATGCAACTCTGCTTAGAGACATTTCAGACTATGTACAATCAAACAATCTTAAATGTGCTTTCATTGCTATTGATCAAGAAAAGGCTTTCGATTACGTTGACTGGGGTTTTATGCACAAGGTACTAGCTCGCATGAATTTTGGTCCAATCATTCGTGGAATTATTAAATGTCTGTATACGCGTGTCCAAAGTGCTATTCTTAGTAATGGAACTTTGTCTGAGTTCTTTGATGTTCATAGAGGAGTTCGCCAGGGATGTCCGTTATCCCCCTTGCTTTTTGTTCTTGTTTCGGAATGCTTTGGACAACTGGTTAGATCTTGCAAAGAAATACAGGGTCTTACGTTGCCCGGCGGACGTGAATCGAAGATCAGTCAATATGCTGACGATAACACTTGTTTCGTCACTAACGATTATGGCCTTTTGAAAGTGCTTGACGTTTTTGAACAGTATGGACGTGCGAGTGGCGCTAAATTGAATCGAACCAAGTCTAAGGGTCTTTGGCTCGGACGGTGGAGACAGCGATCCGATTCCCCTGGAGGGCTGATGTGGTCGAATAGCACTATCAAAATCGTTGGATTTCATTTTGGGGATGAGAGTGCTTTTGCAAAAACATGGGAAGCTGGAATGGCGAAGTTTTCCAATGTTTTGACGGGATGGAAGTCGCGTTTCCTGACGCTGCGAGGTAAATGTACTGTCTTCAACTCCTTGGCGGCAGCCTCTGTTTGGCACCTAGTCCGGATTTACCCACCTACTCGAGAGATTCTGGACGTTTTGCGGAAAGCGATGTGGAAATTTATTTGGTCCAATAAACCTGAACTCGTACGTCGGGAAATTTGTGTCTCTGATCTAACTTCTGGTGGCTTGAAAGCAGTAGATATCGAAACGCGGAGCAAGTGTTTATTAATTCCACGTGTATTTAAGTTCTTAGAGAAGGGGGCGGCCCCTTGGAAGGATTTGATGCGATATTATATTGGGCGATCTATTGGTGTCAATGATAATAGTAAGCCTAATTGTGACACACCTTCTGAATTTTACGGCATTGTTCTTCGAGTCTTGCGGGAATTGCAAGTGGATGTAGCCACTCCCAAGTCGTCGAGCTATTTCTATGTCAAAGCAATTACTAATAAAGTCATCCCCGTTAGACCAGCATGTCAAATAAAGTGGGATACAAACTTCCGTGGATTGATTTGGAAGGATATTTGGAAACGTATTCATTCGGGGTTGGAAGATCCAGTATTACGTGACTTTTATTGGCGAACAGTGCATCTCGTGCTCAATGTAAACACAGTCCTCAACAAACGGAATTCGCGTATCCCTGCGACTTGTTCTTGGTGTAACAATAGATGGGAAAGCCTGGCCCATGCACTTATCCATTGTCCATTTGTTGAAGAATTATGGCATTTTGTTTTACGTATTTGCAACAGCATTGATCAGTCAATAACAGTGTTTTCAGAAGGGGCTCTTTTATTAGGAGACACTGGTTCAAGGATTAACAGTGACTTAACCAGATATCTTATCTCAGTTGCGAAGTTTGCCGCGTGGAAAGAACGGAACTCGTATCAATTTAACTGTGATCAGAAGATTTCTTGTCTTCTCTATTTTAAGTATTATGTGTCGAACAGGTTGAAAATGGAATTTTTTTATTTAAATCGGGACATGTTTCGTGCCACCTGGTGTGTAAATGATGTTTTAGGCAAAGTTGTTGGACAAAAACTTGTGTAAACGTTGTAAATATCTTAGTTGTATATATTGTGTTGCCCTATTGGGCTTTTAATAAAAATCGATAGATACTCTTACCTAATGGTAGAGTTTTGACGGGCTCTGAGGTACACGGCTGTTGTCTCTTTCTCGACTTAGAGACGTGCAGCGTTTTCTAGTTGAAAAGGAGATGTGGGTCTTGAGTTTTCCTGCAAATTCAAGTTCCAAATTTCAAGACTCATGCCAGGTCTTGAATTGAAAATGTAAAACCGGGTAACCGGTTATTATTTTTTCGTAATAACCGGGTAGCAGGTTATTACGTAAAATAATAACCGGGTAGCAGGTTATTACGGAAAATCCCGTAATTCAACCCCGTAATTCCCCCGGAGAAATTAAATGCCACCGCCTGCTTTTAGATAGAAGGTTATTACGGAGAAGTTAAAAACCGACAAAATACAAAAGAATATGGTCTGTTGAGTTTGTAAGTGAGGTTAGTGCACAAAAGTGATATATATAATCTATTATGATCAACGTATAATAAATCCTGAGTACATTTGTTTAACAAGACAATTCTGGGATTTTACAGCTAAGCAGTTCATTATCAATCAGACACTTTCTAGCACCAAGACCTTGAAGACAGATATTTATATAATTAAGATATTATATGTCTATATAAACAACACCTTACATATTTACCTTGTTTATTAGTTAATTCAATCCTGAATCTTGGATAACACATACTTTATATACAGCCTTCAATATAAATCATTCCTTCATGATCGAGACTCGTTGAGCCTTGATATAAACAGCATTCTTTCTACAATTCGACGTTGTTTGTCGAACAATGTTACATCAACCAGATCAATTTTTACCTATGTACCGTACGTTACACAAAATACAATTACAACGCGATTGTAAGCAACAAAATAAAGTCCAAAGGTAATTTACATCTTGAAAAGTCCATATTTACATACTGCCATTTACGTTCAAGCTTGCAGCGTGCGAATTTTTTCACGTTTGTTTATGTTTTAAACGCAACGTTCCAGGGGGTAATTACGCCCTTTTGGCAAATGAAAGTGACCGTTTGAACCATGCAACGGTTATTATTCGTTAGATAATATGTCATGTTTTGTTTAAATTCCAATGACGTTTGTACATTTTTATGTTGTAAATCTCTGAAATTCAGCTACAAAATGTAAGGAATTGATTGTACAGTATTTAGAATCACGAGAATACAAAAATAAAAGTATATTCTTGCTTCCACAACAGAGGAGGTACGACAAGCAATTAGCGAGTTGTCACGTGAGCTCTCGACCAATGAGATCGCTCTATTTTCCATGGACAGAAAAATTTGCATTCGACGGAAAATAAATCGGAAAAAAAATATTAATATTAAAATTTTCTTGAAAAATTTCAAGTGTTGTAGTACTACTGCTAAAGATCTGGTGATAGCTGCACTCTGAGGTAAACGTTATTTTCAATGTTATTTTGATGTTTGAAGTTAGTCGACTCCCGCGACGTGTTGACTCAAGTCTAAATATGTTTACAATGTTTAAAATGAAATATCTAGAATTCCCATGGTTCAATTTTCTTCATTTTTGGTAGTCGTCAAGACAAAAGTATAAGCTTTAAAACTGCTGGAATGATCCCGGTGTTCAAGTGACTATTGTCAACTCGACGTTCGCTAAAATGGCGTCTAATACCTTGGAAAGAAAATGTGCCATCAAAGATGATATTTTCAATGAATTTTTGTTAAAGTGTTAAAATATTATTTAGAAGACTTAGGAGTTGTTTTAATATTTTTTTAGAATTTATATCTGTGCGATTTTCAAAGTTTTGTTGTCTTTGGCCGACGCGACTGGATCGTGTACGTATTTCAAGACGAGCTGATCGCCTGATACTGGGATTTTTGTGGCAAATCGAGCTGCGGAATCCTCAGCATGGACAAATCAGTGTCATAACAGCCCATTTCAAGCCAGCAGAGAGCTTCACTTGTTTTAAAGCAATAAAATAAGTTTTTATGTATCATATAACAAATTAAGTGGCATGTTATTGTGGGGTCTTTCCCTGCTGGCAGTGGTTTCTGAGCTGAAGTGGGATCTCTGATCAATTTAATAAATATTATATAAATAGACATCTTCTTGTTTTATTGTTGCATTAATTTTAATCTGAAAAAATACTCACAAAGTAGGTCAAGTGTATGAATAAATATTCATTTATTTACTAAAGTACATTTTTTACAGTTATTTATGTACTTAGTCTTATTTGCATGAGTGTACATGACAGATTGGTTTAATTAGATATACCCAGTTATCATTCATAACCTATGGTTTGTTTAAAAAATGCTGGAAAAAACTAAAAAAGTTAGCCAATTGAAATAAATGCACTAATAACTTGCTAAACATAGCTTGGTAGTTGCTATTTATTATATAAAAAACATCTGTCAACATACACTCATGCTTTTTCCTACCACTCGAGTCTCCACTCACCAGGGGCCGGTTGTTCAAAGCTGGGTTAGTTTAACCCATGGTTAACCTAAAATTTGAAGCAAACTTCCTGACAGCTTTTCTATAAATTTGGAAATATTTCTTCAGAGATCTTGTCTGGATTGATAGGAGTTTACTTCTCTGAAGTTTTGAAATACACAGATCTATGT